AAAGAGATTTGCATTCCAACTCATTACTTGTATTAGCCTGCATGGCGGCTCTAGGGGAAGGGGGAGGGGGAAAACGGAAGGGGAGGGGGTGGGGAGGCGGAAAGGAAAAAAAAGAGAGCCTGCCAGAACGAGCCGCTAAATCGTGTACCGCCTACTAGAGGTGATTGAACCGGAAATGGTTCGTTACTTGTCAATTTCATGTTATGTGTTTGTCACCTTCTTATTACCAGATTTTTATAGTTATAGTTCAAAGCGCCTTTCGAAAAGCAAACATACTACGGTAGACTGTCTTGCAAATTCAACAAAGCAACACATGAATTTTGTTAGACTTGCCACAAGTCAACCACACTGTTGGGACACTGATAATTCGAGCGACATAGTCGCGAGACGAACGCTGAAGGCGTGAGCGCGTTTTCCGGGAGATAAGCGAACCAGGAAAAACGGACTTTGAGAAAGTCTAGAATTTCGTGTATGTACGTTATGACATTTGACCTTCATCTTTCTATAGTATAAAGACTCTTTGAACTTCGGCTGAAAGGTTCGGCTGTACATAGAATACACATTCACGGATGCTATTTTAAAAACATGTAGATACTTATGCTACTCTTTACAAAATGACAAAAATGAAAATCCGAATCTATATAGCCTATCCAACAGAGATACACACGACTTGTTGGACGATCAAGATCACAGTTTTCCCTCACTGACTTTTCAATCTAGCGATCAATAAATTTGACTTTGTAAACCATCTTTCCGTGTTGTTTTGTTTTTCAGAGTTCTCGAAATAGCCTTGGTATCGTTATTTTGACAGCGAATTGAAAACGTCAATCACAGCAGTGATTTAAACCAATCAGGAAGCGCGGCCTCTGGAGGCCGCGAGTACACGATTTAGCGGCTCGTTCCGCCTCCCCACCCCCTCCCCGTCTGTTTTCCCCCTCCCCCCTCCCCTAGAGCCGCCACGCAGGTTATGATTTCTGCCATGCCTTTGCATCTAAGCGAGACAACCGTTGAGCGTGCAAAAATAGAAACCTTCTTTCACACCTACAGACAATTATTAATCTACAATCCTGGTCATTTTACGCGGGACATTGCAGCATGTAACTGTTTCAATTTGACAACATGACAAACACTCGGTACAGTACCCTGCCACCACCCCCCCCCACCCCCACCCCCGGCCCCCTGTACAATGTTGGGTTGCAATTTTCATTTGATTTTTCATGCTTCAGTATCATGACATCATGAACAACGCCAACA